TAGAAAGGAGTAGGTGGGGAGGTGTTTTAAAAGCCACCGTATCTCCTTTCTTCAGAATCACAGAATCAACCCTCAACAGTCAGAAAAGACCTTTAAGATCATTGAATACAACCATTAACCTAATGCTGCCAAGCCCACCACGAGGCCATATCCCTAAGCACCTTATCGACACATCTTTTAAATACCCCCAGGGATAGTGACCCACCACTTCCCTGGGCAGCCTGTTCCAGTGCTTGACAACCATTCTGGTGAAGAAATTTTTCCTAATGTCCAATGCACACCTCTCCTGGTCATTTCCACTTGTTGTATCACTTGTTACTTGAGAGAAAAGGCTGATCTCCACCTCTCTACGACATCCTTTCAGGTTGTTGTAGAGAGTGATAAAGTCTCACCTGAGCCTCTTCAGGCTGAATAACCCCAGTTCCCTCAGCCACTTCTCATAAGACTTGTTCTCCAGACCCTTCACCAACTTTGCTGACCTTCTTTGGGCATGCTCCAGCACCTCAATGTCTTTCTTGTAGTGAGGGGATGAACACAAAAATGAAATGTCCACACTCCACATCTATTTCTGCTTACACATTGCCACGGTCCATACCCTCATCCCTGTGTTAGTGCTGGCAGCAAGGCTGAAGTGGGGAGTGGAGCTGCTTGATGTTTTCCACTTCATGGACCTGACATTTCTAAATGAGCACCCCCCAAAGTCCTGTGGTGGCTCAGAGGCTCACTCCTGTTGTAAATTTAGGAAATGTCCAAGGCCTTAAGCAAAATCTGGGTTCTCTTTGTCAGTTGTCCAGGAGGTGTTTTCCAGTAAAGGGTGTGCAAAAAATGATACCAATGGATTTGGTGTTAGATTTTCTTGGTAAGTCCATTAGAAAGGGCTGTGACATGGCACCCCACTGCAGAGAACTCTGCTCGCAACTGAACCTTCTCCGTGGTGGTCTCTCCTTCTCCCCTCAGACCAGCCCGTGGTGACCACCGTCCTGGCCATCATCGGCAAGTTTACATCCACAGCCTCCTTCTCCACTTCCTACATCTATGCCGCAGAGCTCTTCCCCACAGTCATCAGGTGAGGTCTCCCCATACATCAGAGCTTCCCTCCACCATGGCTGGTGGCAGTGGTAGGGCAAGAGCCCAGATGCCCCCATGGCTACTCTCAGTGCCACAGTGGCCTGAGGGCCGGTGGGCTGTGCCCACACCTCTCACTGCCTTCACTTCCCCAGGCAGACCGGCGTTGGGCTGTGCTCAACAATGGCGCGGGTGGCAGGGGTCATAGCCCCGCTGATGCTCCTCCTGAGCCAGTACCACCGGGCCATCCCCATGGCCATCTTCGGGAGTGTCCCCGTGGTGGTGGGGGTGCTCTGCTTCCTGCTGCCCGAGACCCGTGGTGCTGATCTGGCAGATGGCACGGGGGCATCCGCCCCTCAGCTGAGGTGGGTACCTGGAGGTTGGAATTTAAGGCAAAGAAAATGCAAAGGTACAAATTTAAGGCAAAGAGAAGTATGTCAGAAACCAAGACTGAAACAATGTCATGCCTTCTTCTTTCCTTCTTGTGTTCAGCAGCAAGGCATTGGAAACTTTGTCCAAGAGAGACACCACAGAGGAGGGGGAAGACTCAGAGAAGGACTCCTACAAGTGTTCAGAGAGTAAATGATGAATGGACAGGCATATACTAAAGGTCTAGTCTGATCCAGTCTTTATCAAAACACACCCGTGAGATGTTGCTGTCTGTCTGGAAACTGGTCTTTCAGACGATCAACAAAATATTCGCGGTCGGAGGGAGGGGAGATCTGTGTCGCTCTGCGTTTGGAAAAGATGCACTTCAACCTGTTGCTGAAACCCAACCTGTTCTGCCTGGCGGCGCGAGTCCTCCCGACGTGTTTCCCAGCCCTTTGCAAACTGGTACCCGTGGAACCACCCCTGTCGTGTTTTACAGCAATAAAGAATCGCCAGTAGAGTGGTAGAACTGGGCAAGCGAGCGCCGGGTCGTGTCCCTCCTGCACTGACCGCTTGGGTCGTCAGCTTCCGCGTCGGTCCGAGCCTCGACGCTTGATCGGGATGTCACCGAAACCCTGTCACACACGTAGCTAGCTTTTATTTCTGTGTGGTGTTGAAGTTGAGTTTCTACATGAATAATATAAATTATACTCTGCGTTTGATAAGAGACACTTGTAATGCAATATGTGAATAATAAATGGTGTTGATTTTTATGTTTTTCCTACTGTTTCACAGTTGGCCTTTGTAACTGCTATTGGCTCTGGAGTGTTTTCTACACAGAAATTGTAAGCCTGTGATTTAACACGTAGGTGGAAATGGGTTTGGTTTCCATCAGCCACAAACAATGCAGAAACAGCGGAACGACCTGGTTCAATTAGGGCTTTTTTTCTTCCAAGTCCTCAGACGAACAATCTGTATTTATTTTCTCTACTAGCAACTGTGAGGTTTCCTGAATTGTGTGGTGTACACTGCAATTCAATGTCAGTCAAACTGAGTGGGCACCTGGACAGCTTTCCCCAATCATGGTCAGCCTTTAACAGCAACCTTGGGTGGCTGCTGCCAACTCATCCACAACATTTTAGTACCATCTAGTGACAGATACAAAAGAGAGGGGTGGCCTCCACTCTCATACTACTTGTTTGCAAGCGGAGAATGTGTCTGGTGCCCTTTCGTGAAGCTCTCTCCTCAAACCACAGCACTACTGGTCAAAGGAGAGGGCTGGTCACTCAGGTTTGTAGCATCCTTTTGTTTCTAATTGCTTTGTGTTGCAGTAAATAGTGTTTCAAAGGCTGGTGTGTCCCAAGTTCGGTCCAGCCATGCCTGGAGGTGATATTCTTTTTGTGCTTTGGCTTTGGTGCACAAAATCTCCCCAGTGTCACAGGGGACGTGGCCATGGCTGGAGATGGGACAAGGCATTTGCGGGATCTGGGGTTTTGGTGCTGACTTGTTGCAGAGTCACGAGAGCTGCATTAATGCTGCTTCTCCTCACCTCCTCCACCATTCCCTGCTGGGTCCCGTTCTGCAAGATTTGCTCTGGTCATGGACCTGAGATACCTCTGGCCCTGCCTGACCAACTTCCAGCAGTGGTGAGATTCCAATACATGAACTTGGGTCTCCTCCAAAGGTGAAATGGAGATCGAGGGGTTCTGACCCGAACACAGACAGCTGTAAGTGCAGGAGCAAGGCCTCGCTCCCATATCTGATATAACAGGGCCTGAAGAAGGTTTGGACTTTAATTGACGTGCCTTAGCAAACCTTTCCTGGCATTCGCTCACCACTGCCACCCTCAGCACCTTCCCACCAGGCCCTCCAGTCATGGGTTGGTAAGTCACTCTATCAAGGTCTTCCATCTGCTCTTCCCAGCTAAACCTTGCTACCCAGTTTTGTCCTCATGTTCTCATCAGCCTTTTGGCTCCCTCCCTTTGGCTATGGGGTCATCTCCTTTGTCAGGTGCTCTTCAGCCAAAAGTGCACCATCCAGTGGTCTTCAAACTAACCAAGTCTAGAGAAAAGCAATTGAAATGGATCTCCAGCCTACTGGAGAAAAGAATGAGACGGAAGCAGAAGTACATCAGATGTACTTGGACACCTTTATTCATGAAAAGAGCTGAAAGCGAGTCTCAGAGCAAAAATCCCAAAAGGAGCTGTGGTTTCACTCAATAACTGTGCATTTTTCTCCAAACTCTTCCCTCAGCCTTTACCCTCAATGTCTCATTTTCTTAAAAGCCTGAAGGAGGCAGCTCTCAGCCTTTGCCAAGGAAAGTGTCCTCAGGCAAAGAACGGAGCTCCTCTATACTCAGGGTCACTGAACAGGTGAACGACAGCAGATCCTTTGAAAAACAGTGCCAGCGAGAAGGTGGCACCACAGGCAGCCCCTCCTGGCAGGATATTGTCCCACGTCAATGATTTTACCCAAAACTCTGTCTTCATCAAACTGCGTATCCATGTGGTACTTTGATCCATGGAAAACATGCAGGCATGACAACAGGGAGAAGAAATAAAGTCTGATTGAAATCTGGACCCTACTAGAGAACAGCCTTTGAGCTGTGTACAGACAAAGCTGGAACACCACCACTATATGAATTCTGAGCTTCATCGGTAACCAAGCCAGTGGTAAAAGAAAGTCATCTTGAGGGACAGGAGATAAGAGGAGAAGAAGTACAAGAAAAGCACCGTTTTTTTCCTTCATAGTATAAAACAAAAGTAATCCTAAAGTGTTTAAAGACAGAAATGGATATAGCAAGAAGGAATAGACTGAAATAAAGTAGATATTTCCCAGAAAGATTTGAACTTTCTTCTAAGAGACCAAATGCCACAATGTCTCTCATTTTCCTGGGACAGACAAATTAACATGTTCCTACACTGCAGCCTGACAGCGCAATCTTCTGTGCACAAAAAATTCAAAGCCACCAGCACTAAGGCAAAAATTCTGCTGCCTGTTAGACACCCTTGCTCACTGCTTGCCGTTTTTCCATTGCATCTTTTTTTTTTTCTTATTTGTGGGTCCCAAATTTAAAAAAAAATAAAAATAAAAAGGAGTGTTTTTAAGAGAGGGTGAAGAGATCATGTTAGACAGTGAAGAAAAATCACTCCTTCCTGCAGGTGTGAGATTGTTTCCAGTGCTGCATCTGCTCTAGCTATCTCTTTAGTGAGCACACAACTTGGTAGCAAGTCTGTGCAATGCTCTAGCAGATGTCTCACTCAGACAAAGTTTAGTTTCACATTCCTGGAGACGGGACAGGAAAAAGGAAGAGAAAACGTTGCCTGTATTCTGATTTCTTTCTTTTTTCCCTTGAATGAAAAGCATCAAATTTTCTTCAGCAAGAGCACTAGCGAACACCAGCATGCAGTGCCTGAGGACAAGCTATAGAGGGAGGTACAGGAAGGCAAAAAAAGAAGAGGAAACCCAAGAATTGTCAGTGAATGCTTGAGAGGTAGCGGTGTCCTGCAAATGGAGACCCTGCCTGTCACGGTGCCGGCACAGCACCGCGTTCCTTTTAGCCACAGCTAGAAGTGAGTAGTCTTTGTGCACTCATTGTCTTGGCTACCATCTTTTCCTTTCATGTGTCCATTATCAGAGATGCTGTTGGCATTTTCACAGACCTGATGGAACAGAAAAGAGTTTAAAAGCAAAGACAGACCCTTTATGAGCTGGATGGCAGCCTTCAGCAACCTTGTTACCCGTTCACTAGTTGCTCTATGGGCCCCTGTGGACAGCCTTCTCTCGGGAAGAGAACAGAAGTATCGGGGTGCGATTCTATCGGGTACCGCAGGGAATGAGGTCTGGAACCTACCAGAGGACAAAAGCCAGAGGCACCAGCCCTTCTTTGGGGAGGGAAGGGAGAGGAAAATGGAGCACCAGATGTTCCTGAAGTCCTTCCATCCCATGGACAGGAGCAAAGGGATGACCACCATGGGTCATGGGACCTCCTCCCCTCCCTCCACAGTGGGGCAGCCCTACCCCCTGCCCTCCCACCACCTTAGGCCCTCAAAGAAACCTCCAGCCTCAGCCCATGGAGCGCCAACGGCCTCCTGCAGCCCTGGCACTCCACGTCGCAGCCCAAGAGGCACCACAGGCACCGTGGGATAGTACTCACCCTAGCAGGGGGGTGGCTGTCCCCCGTGTCATCTGCCAGCTCAGTGCCGCGGGTCTCAGGCAGCAGGAAGCAGAGCAGCCCCCCAACCACGGGGGTACTCCCGAAGATGGCCATGGGGATGGCCCGGTGGTACTTGCCAAGGAGGAGTATCAGTGGAGCCAGGACCCCCGCCACCCGCGCGAACATCGAGCACAGCCCCACACCGGTCTGCCTGGGGAAGTGAGGGGCAGTGAGAGGTGTGGGCAGGGCTCAGCAACCCCTGGGATGCTACAGGACAAAGTGTGGCCACAGGGACACCCCAGGCTCTTGCCCCGACACGTGGGGAGACCTCACCTGATGACCGTGGGGAAGAGCTCTGCGGAGTACACGTAGGAAGTGGAGAAGGAGGCTGAGGCAGTAAACTTGCCGATGACGGCCAGGACGGTGGTCACCACGGGCTGGTCTGAGGGGAGAACAAGAGACCACCACTGTGGGATAAGAGAGGGCCCAGGACCACTTGGGGACAGAGGCTGGGGTTGCACAGACCACCACCGTGTCACCTGCAGGGAGCCACCACCTGTCAGTGCCTCAATATGGACTGAGGAGCAGCTCTGGCCTGTGGGCCACCTTCAGCGCACTTTGCATCCATCATCTCACAGAATCACAGAATCACAGAATGTTAGGGGTTGGAAGGGACCTCAAAAGATCATCTAGTCCATCCCCCCTGCCAGAGAAGGATCTCCTACAGTAGATCGCACAGGAATGCATCCAGGCGGGTTTTGAATCTCACCTCTCCATGTATTAATTTTCCCAAAGGAAAACTCTGCTAATAGGTGACCTGCTGGGCTCAGCTCTACCTTCTCCTACTGCAATCAGCCAGCAAAAGTTCGCTGATCAGAACGGACTGTGGGAAGTCAGCCAAGTCCCTTGTGGCCATGGCACCAGGGTCAGCCCAAGCCCTGAGAGATGTGAGCCAGCCCGGCAGGGAGGACAGGATCTACACCAGCGAGGGAAGGGTTGAGGATCTGTGCCTCCCTGTCCCAGAGGTTGTCCTCTCATGATGGGAAGAGGTTGCTCACCTTCAGGGATGGCAGTGATGATCAGACACACCACACCACTCAGCAGCAGGAGAACAGCCTGGCTTTTCCTCCTCCCAAACCACTGCAGAATGAAGATACAACCACCGCGGGCTGGGATTTCCACTGCTCCAAACGCAAGCTGTGTCAGGTAGATGTCCAGACCAAAATTTGTAACGTTCAGACTCAGCCCGTAGTAGACAAAGCTGTTCACAAACCTGGAAGTCAGGCAGGGTGGCACTGAGCATGTCTATTGGCCGTGAACAAATACAATATTGATCTCCAGTAACAACATTTTGATCAAGCCATAGCATTTCCAAGGGGACACAAAATCAGATGAATACCACAGGACTGCCAAAGCTGGAATGGTTTAAACCTTTCCAATAAAATGCAGAGCATCTTGAATAGTCAGAAACAGAAAGACCCATCAGTAATACCCAAGCCCAGTAAAGTGAATCTGCAGCTATGACTCACTATCAGTCGCTTCCTTTCTTCACCTAGAGGTTTGGAAAGAGGGGACCTGGGGGTGTCTTACCAGGCACACGACATGATTAAAGTCACCTTCCGGAGATGCTTCTTCCGAAAGAGATCCAGGGCACTTCCAGACTTGGTCTGTTTCTCAGGCTTCAGCTTCGAGAGGCAGAAAGCCAAAGAGTCAAACCAGGCAAAGGAAACCCATGGCTAGCTCCTTTTCCACCTGCAGCCACTGCAAAGCCTCAGTGGGACACGATGGTGACCCTAAACTGCTCTGGGCAGGAGAGCAGCCCCGTGGGGCTTCATCTGGGCTCTGGGAACCAACGCACTAATTTGAGGAATACGTGGTTGTTTTGGAAGACTCTTTCCTCTGTGTAAAGACTAGAAGGTGGGCAAGGAGATAACCCTGCTTCAGACATCTATGCCTGGGAAAGCTCAGACCTGCGATCCTCACAGCAGAAAAGCTGGGGAAGCCTTTGGGTTCTCTTCATATCGCAAGGAAAGCTCCAGACTGACCCTCAGCAGCAGCTGCGCCTCTTCCCTGACCTTGTCTCTGTGCAACGTAGCTGGAGGCTCAAGTCAGCCCCAGTCCATTCCCAAATCACCCTCAGCCAGCACGGGAAGATGTTTATCATCACTTGACCTCGGCTCCAGGGGCTGCTACAAAGCCAAGCAGAGAGGAAAGTCTCTGAAGGCAAGAAGCAGAATTCCTGGTGGGAGAGTGCGCTTGTTGACGGATGCTGCCTTCTGCAGGACCTTCTTAGCTTCTTCTACTCTGCCTTTTATCACCAGCCACCGAGCTGATTCTGGTAGCACCCTGCCAAGGAGATGAAACCAGAAGATGCTGCTGTGACGTGCTGAGTTTCCCCACACACCATCTCCTTGCAACTATGTCCAGAAAGTAATGGGCATGATATGTAATGGAGGGGGTCTAAATACCTTACATTTTGGCTCCAAAGGTCACATTTGAAGATCTGAAGCAAAGCAGTTGCTGCTTTTAGTGGTCCAGTGCCCCAGGGGGATGTGCTGAGCTCTGCAGATGTCCCTCTGGCATCTGCACTCTCCTGAGCTGCTGCCTTCTCACTGCCACCCCTCACATCCACTGCTCTCATGGCTGCAATGGGCTCTGCCCACATCCCACTTACCAGATGTAGAGGAGACAGGCAAATATAGGAGCAGATCCTGCAATCTCCAGCAGCCTCCAGTTGCGAATGCCGTAACTCAAGCCAGCCAAAATCATCTCTCCGATGGCAAAACAGCAGTGAGAAAGGAGAACTGCCTTTGGCCGGGAGGAGACACCGATCCATTCTGTAGCTGAAATGAAGAACGAAGGTTCAGAGTCCTCCATGCAAATGATTTCTCCTGCAGAAAGAGCTCACAGGGTGTTTGCCCTGGAGAAGACCTCTCCTGGAGGTGAGGTCAGCAGTCAGAGCTCTGGCATCTGTCACACATGCAAGTCACCAGTGCTTCACGAGATGCACCTCTCCTTATCGTCAGGGTGTCCTGGTCCTCTGCAAGCGGACATGAAGCTCAGGTATGTCACCTCTTTGCTTCCAGCATTCACAGAGCCCCTCACTGGGGCAGGGCTGGGGCCAAACTGATCACATCCCAGAGCCACTGGCTCTCTCCCCACACTGACATGCTGAGTCGGGGAGCGGTTCCCTTGCCCAGCTCTGAGCAGTGGCATAGGAGAGATGCTCTCTGTGCCTCTCGCTCTGGGTTGAGAAGATGCTAAAGTGCCAAAGGACAATGCAAAGCAAGACCTGTCCTCACCATGATGTTTTTCAAGTCGTATACAGTCATCTTTATTTCTTTACAGACCTTTCCTATTGCATCTCGAGAGGCCACATCTGTCTGCTTCAGGGCAAGGGCATCCTACTCACCTAAGGACAGTATTGTCATGGTGATCCCTGTCACCGAAGCCCCCACAACACATCGGAAGGCAATGTACACATAGAAATGGGGCACAAGGGCAATTCCCACACCAAACAAGCCCTGGAGGAAGATGGAGATCAGAATGACTGGCCGGCGGCCGATCCTGGAGAGGAAGAGGAAGATACAGTCAGTATCTGGAGACCCACCCTGGATATGGTGAAGAGCCCAGCAGGTTACACGGTGATTGTGTTGTGACTTTTCAAAGGGAAGGTCACAGAAACGACAGAACTTATCTACACATAGATAAGCTGGCACTTCTTTATTGCAGCGCTGGGAAGCTTGGAAATCATCCAACGCTTCGAATACCTCACAAAAATTCAATCTATGTATACACTCTTTTACAA